ATGGATTTTGTTTGAAGTTACCATCTTTAAGCATTTGCTTAAAGATGTAGGACCTACAAGGCAGTAGACTTGTTTGAATTTAGAGTTTTCGTCTCCTAGACTGTTTGGCACTCAAGGCTATAGGATACAATCTGTCCTGCTATTTTACCGATAGCTGGGGGATAATAGATGGATTCATACCTTTAATTATGGAATTGGAACTCAGCACTCCGATTCCTCAATCCAAGCTGCTAACCATTACTCCACCGTTCCTCCCAAGCAAGATTAGTGCACGAAAATGTTTCTAACCAGCAAATCCCCTCTCTAGTTATTCTTATCTTGGATAATGCTTAGTAAATATTAATAAAGTTTAATTAGGCTGTACATATATTGACATGAAACTCAGATGGAGATATAATAACAGATAAAAAAGGAAAAGGATATTAAAAACGATGTTTAAAATCTGGAATGCACTGCCTATTCATTTTAGTAAGGAAAATCTGCTCCATAGTACAGTGATTTCTGTGTTTGCTTTACATGCTAGTTGTTGTAGATATTGAAAAAATAAAAAACAAAAAAACTTTAAAAAAAAAACTTACATAAAAACTTAAACAATGTTGACATGTATCTGATAGCTAAATTAAAACAGGTAAATGCTATTTTAGCATCCCGTTACCGCTATCTTATCAATGTTGAATTTTGTACAAATCTGTGCAAAAAGTGGATCAAGAGCTTACCCAGCTTCATACATATTTTCAGGAAATATCAACTTCTAATTGGTCATTGAACACACAAGTGGGCATTGCAATCCACTCATTTTGCAGCGCATGGCCAAGTCAAGTTTTCCCGCTTTTTTTTCCAGGATTAAATTAATTATAAATATCAGACACGAGTTCATTTTCTCTATCTCTCTCTTTTCTTTCATTCGCCTATGAAAATGTAACCTTAAGGAAACTGCGTTGTGACTCCATTGCAGTTGAACGCTGAAGACAAGCCTTCTTAGATTCACTACACTATAAAATATATTGGACAAAGTTGCTGTTTGTTGCCATTTTTAACTGGAGAAATTACTATTTGGTACTTTTGAGGTAGAAAACTTTCAAAACAAATGAATTTGATATTTTCAAAAGAAACAAATTCAGAACATGGAGGAATTTTACATATATATTATTATATAAAAAGTAACAATTCAAAAAGAGAGAAAATATAGTTGTGTGTTCACAGCTGAAAAAGGAAAAAATATTATAGGCTTTGCTGTTAGAAAATGTGTATGTGATGTGCCTGGCTGAAATTATGGAGACAAACTGCACGAGGAAAAATTTCTCCCAATGGAGAGAAGTCCTTTTGTTTTCACTTCTACCTTCCCGAGCAAAAAAAGAGGAAGAGTATTTATGTACCTGCCTTATATAGTCCAAAATAGAATATCACCTAGCAGGTCTCCTTTCAGACATGGTGAGGTAACCCACACAAAATGAAATAGAGAAAACAGATTTTGATTTCTAATAACTTTTCTGTAAGAGCATGTGCAGGTTTATCTCTTCGTTTTCTCAAATTGTATTATGAAAATAATTACAGGAAATTTAGAATTAATTACACAATCATAGTTATGTTTTTACTACATTATCACTTTTTGTGTAATTGTTATATACAATAATAAACAGTGTGGCTTTTTTGTTTGGTTCTTTATCAGAATGTTATAATAAGTGTATAGTTGCAAGGGAATGAACATAAAAGGTTTAAAATTTCAACAGCATGTAAATGCTCAAATTTCAGAATATACACATAGTTGTTTGGAAGGTAGCACAAGTTGTTAACATGTGGTTCTTTAGTTGCTGCTGGCAAGGAAAGCAATTAGGTATAATGGTTTTGTCAGTGGGGCTAGGGACTTGACCAATTTCTTGGATTGGTTAGTTGAGGTCACGGTTGGTGTCAAGCAAGAGGCCTGGTGTGGATTAGTGGAGCCAAACAGAATGTGATTAGCGGCGATTGATGTACGCCATTCTTCAGGGCTCAAATCGACACCGGTGGGGTGCATGATGGGTTGGCGGTTGGGTGATGAGGCAGATGTGTTGTAGCCGAACTGTATGTTGCCAGTGAGGATGATTCATGGTAAAGTGTTTTGGCGGGTTGATCGATCAGGGTCACGGATCTGACTTTGCCAATACAGTGGATGTATAGCGGACCATGGCGGTGAAGATATAAAGAACACACGAGGGTTAAAATTTCCTGCTAGCCGGCCCAGCTACATGAGAATGTTGGACTCTAATTGAGTCCAAAGTAAACAAACAAGACCGATAATTATATACAAACAAATATATGTATTAACAAAAGGCTACAAGCACATGGACAGTTACATTGAGTTTGTGTGGTGTGTGTGTATTGTGGTGGGGGTTTGTACGTACATGTGTTGTTCATAGCGTGTTCCCAGAATTTGGGAAACGCTGTATTTGTGAGAGCTCACATATGCGAGGTGGTATAACGCCCAAGGCCTGAGAAAAAAAAGAGCTCGAGGCAAAAGGTCATCCAGTATTTATAGCCAGGGGAGAGAGACCCCTGGTGAAGTGTTAAGGAACTAAAGGAGCTAACTCTGACAGATGCGAGTGTGAAGAGTCTGGAGAAGTCACAAATCTGAGTTTGTCGATACAAGGGTGCGTGCATGATAAGTTGGGAGAGATTAGTGAAGTTTGGGCGGAGGTCATGGTGGTGATGAGAGAGGTGATTATTGCGGTGATGGCGACAGCGCACTGGTGTTGATGGCTGGCCTCTTGGCTTGCTACTCTGTTGGTCGTTTACGAAGGGCTTTCTTTTAATCAAATCTGGTTGCCGACAGCATCATCTTTTTTCGACAGGAACGTTTATGATCAGCTATTGTATTTTAATACGCAAATTTGTTTTGTGGATCGGATGTGATGCTTGGTGCCCTTGCACAGAAAACAACTTTTTATATCGTGTTTTGCTTTCTTAACGCTCACATCTGGCCAACATGTAGAGTGAATCAGAAAGAGATCCAATTGCAGTGGATTATAACAAAATATACCTGTTGCGGAATTTGATCTATTTGGATGTCTCAAAAGGTGAGATTGCGTGATGGCTTAAAAATGTGCGTGTTCGTTAAACATTCATCCACAACAAATAAAATAAACAAACATTTGAAGGCAATTCAATTGGAAGAAATCAAGGGGAAACAACGTAGTTATAGATTTCAACAAATAACATGCATTTATATACGTTTGATATACACAAAGTGAATTTAAGATTGTTTGTTCAATGTGATAAGTGAGATAAAATTGTAAGGAGTGACCATGCAGTGATTTGGTGTATGAAAGCTTGTAGTTAAGGTTTGTCTATGAAATTAAAACAGTTTGGTTTCTACAAGGTGAAATGTCACTTCAATGTCACCACACATCGTGTGGGTTCAAATATTAGTGTGTATGTGTGCGACAATTGTAAATATTTAAAATCATAAGGAGTTATGTGCCTTTGACTGATATGATGTAAGTTGATTAAATATACAATTACTACTTTTTCTAGTAAATTGTAAGTTGGGTCAATTCATGCGGCAAGACTTTTTGAGTTGAGTTGCTGAGAGAGAGTGGTGGTTATTGAGTCAGTGTGCTGGCGCGCGTGGAGTTTGTTGGCATCTCTCAAAGACTCAGTTCCTGACTGCCTGAATCAAGTGAAGCGATCCTATTTATTGACTTTTTGGGTTTCAAACCGGCTCCAGAGAGGTGAGTGGGAAAACAGATTTGTCGCAACTTGCTACATTTTATAGGTCCTTTTAACCAATGAGAAGTCAAGTTTGAAAAAGTGAAGTGATGATTGGTTAAAGTTGATTTGGGGGAAGAGTGCATTTTTCTTCAGGAGTGAGTAGCAAATATGGAGGATTCCATTATACTCATCTGTTAGTATCAACCTGGTCTCATGACTTCGTATTGAGAAAATTCATTATTATAGTAAATGAAGGCACCATTTGAAGAGAGCAAGCATTGTGTTAGAATAGAATTTTAAAAAATGAAATAAAAAATAAAATTGTAAAATTCTATTGTTGTTATAGTAAAACAAAACTTGTTCAGTATCAACCAATGTGAACAGGTGTTATATGATGACAACAGAATTTTTAAAAATTAGAAAAAAGTTAAAAATTTAATATGTACGAGGGAATGCTGAAAAATTCTCAACCTGACCGGAGGAAGTAAAAAAAACAATGTTTGGTCAGATTTGGGGCAGTGAGTTGTGTTAAGAACTTTTCAGCTCTCCTCATACAAGTTAGAATTTTGGTTCATCATTTTCAGTAAATGTCATTTTTCATCAAAATACTTAACTTCTATTTCTTTGTACGAGGATGAAACTAAAAGTTTATGGCTTAAACACTGTTATTAGCAGGATTTTGATCTTAAATGTTCACTTCACCATTAAGTGCACTGACAAGGAAGGAATTTATGTTGAAAAAATCTTTTTTATAAAATAAACTATTTTAGATCACTATCTATCTACGTATTTGTTGATATGAACACATACACACAAATTAATTAATATCTTATGCTAGCTAGCATATTGAAATTGTAAGTGTAATAAAAAAAAGCCATTTTTTGTGTAAAACGTATTCTATTTAGAAGCGATATCTGCTTTCTTTTAGCATTTTATTTTTCTTCATCTGCTGCTGAACTGAACGAGTTATATAAAAGTAAAACGAGTTATATAAAAGTAAAAAGATAAAAAAATATATTTGTTTATGCATGATCTTAAAAACCAGTAATTACAGTGAAACGAATGTATTTAGCACTTGTCCTAACTAGTTAAACAGTTATATAATAAAAGTAAAATATCTTCAAAGGAATTTTCACATGAATTGTTTTTCTCAAATAGCTGATGTTGTTTATATAAGCATAAAATTCACGTTACATAAGCACAAATGACGTCTGACGGTTATATAAAGCGATCTTTCAGCCGGTGTCTTCAGAAATCAACAATCTACCGAGAGTGACTGATCGTAAGATTTTTGAACTGATCAACCTTCAATAATGCCATCAACTGGAAAAGTAAGTCGCTTTGTTTTACTTTTAAAAATTTATTTCATCACATGCATAGCAAACTTTTCATAGCATTTTTTAGTCGGTAAAATCATACAAGGAAACAATTCTAAAATACAAACGTTTTTTAGTTATTTTATTTTATTTATCTATTTTTAACTTGGGAGCAGGAAGGATACTAAAGACGAACACTGCTAAGTAAATGCTATGAAGGTATAGGAAGGTCCATGAAGAGGCGCAGCTTGTATGCAATAATGTGAATATTTATTTTTAACTGATAGTGACTTGATTTGTTGACAAAATCGGAGAAGTAGACAAATTAGGTTTCAAGCAAGACGACCCTTAACTCAGGCTGCAAAGCCCATGTCGCTCTTTAGTTTTCCAGGCATCGGGGTCCACTGTCAACACGGGAAAGTTCGTTGCTGGAATTGGATTATCATTAAGAAATTGATTTTTTTTAAATCAATTTTTACTTTTTACCTTTAGATTACATGTTACCCCTTATTCACAACTGAGCCCCAGTCTATTCGAATGTTAATAGACTTTTAACGTGAGCCGTACTGATTACTTTGTCAGGAATTTTTTTCAAAGGGAAGGCTTGGGAAACGTGAATAGCGAATTACACAGCTTTAAATATTAATTTTTTTGAACCCAACAAGAAACTACAACAATTGAAATCGATAGCAATATGCTTATTTTTTAATTTTTTTTTTGTATTCCTTGATGATGTGACGCAAACGATGATATCAATCATTGATTAATTTAATTACCAATTGATATCAAACAAAAGAATACAATAGAACAAAGAAACTGTGAGAATTGGTCGGAATCAAACACAGAAAGGAAAAAAAAAACTGCATAGATTCTTTCTTTATTAATGCTTCATTTATATAAAGTATTTGCTGATTTTAAGTGGCATGCATAGTGGATGAAATTTTGCTCTTCATGTAGTGACAAAAGGGAAGAAACTTAGGCTACATAGGAGGCAGATTCATGGTAAAAGAGCTACAATAGTCAGACATGAAAACAAAAATGGGGTATCTAAATCTTTGTATCAGATAATCTTATGGTGTATGCCCTTTGTTGTTGCAATCACAATGTTTTACTGTATGTATCAGGTTATATAAAGTTAATCTTCAGGAAATTTTAAATGGCAATTTAGTGGATGGCGGTCCAGTCTTCATGTATCACAAAAAGGGGTGAACGAGGTACATAGAGGCCCGCTAACATTTTTTGAAGACGTTAAATCTGACCATGAAACAATATGGACGACAAAACGAGGATATATATGATATATAGAGGTTTATTCTAAAAGGAAAAGGAAATGAAGATGGTCGGAAACGGTGGAGGTGAAGGAGCGAGCCGGATGCTGCAGGAGTGCTGGATATTATGCCCAGTGAGCCGGATTTGCAGGAGTGCTGGATACTGCAGAAGTTTTAGTGCAGGCATTGATGGTCGAGGTTGGCAGTTGCTAGGATCATCGTTGTTGGGGTTGTATAGCTGATATGGGTTTTGCCAGGGGACATCTTGGTGGTTGAATTGAATGATGCCAGGATGATCTTTTTTGGTTGTTTGAGTCGTTGCCGGGGTGCCAACTTTATTCTGTAGTTCGTGTTGCCAACTCGTTGTTTGTCATTGCCGGGATGCCAACTTTTTGCAGCAGTTCGTTTGCCAACGTTGTTTGTCATGTTCTGGATGCCAAATTGACGTGTTCATTTGAGAGACCATTGAATGTTCTGAATTATCGTCAAGTTAGACAAAAAGAAATGGGAGATAACTTTCTAATTTGTTTGTAGACGGCGCCCTTGGCCAATGATGGCCAATTTTTCTTAGACGACCGTTTTTAAAGCTTGGGAGAAATCAATGTTTGTGTCGATTTACCAGCAAGAGAAATTGGCTCTAATCGAAAAGTCTCTAAAAAAAAATACAAGGTTAGCTAATTATAACTATTATAAAAATGACAAAGTATATTACAACTAGGTTTTAATATAGCCTAACTAAAAAGGGATTTGCTGGTCCCTTTGCCAATGTTAACAGTGTGTAAGGACATGAATGAGAGGTCAAGGTGAAATCTATCTCTGCCAGTTCAAAGATAGGGAGGAATTTTAAACTGACACCTTCATTCAATCTATCAAGCTAAATTGTTTTAATTTCACTCTCCATGTCGAGGGATTTCTTGTCTTATTTAATCATTCAGTTATTTCTAGCTCTGTTTCCACTAATTCTATCTGTACTATCATGCCATGGATTGAACTCACAATTATTATGTCACCAAATTCACTAATGAATGTTTAATCCTCTAGGCCATTGTTCTTTGACCATTATAAAATTATAATGCTTGAAAAATTAAAATAACATCTTTATCAGTTGGGTCAAGATTATCATATGGTTGTAGTAAATAGTACATGTTGATATATTTTTCTGAATGTTTTTAATTTTCTTTTATGACAGTATTTCACTTTTTCCCTTACAGCTATGATTTTCTTTTTGCCAATGAACGTGGGACAGTTGAGATTATTGAGTGATATCTTTCCAGTAATTAATTTTAAAGAACTTTATTTTTTGAGTTTGTTTTTTATTTCAGATTATGGGTTCTGTACTACTGCTTGGTTTGGTGATTTGCCTTTTGGCAGTATCAGTAAGGGGAAACCCTGACCAGGGACTGAAGAAAGAAAAATATGCAAAAGGAAAATATAGTAAAATCTTTGAAGAAATAACAGGTGCTCCAGAATTTTGCCATAAAAGAGCCTGTCCCAAATACACTCCGGTAATTATAAGTAAAACTCTTCTTTTTCTCTAAATTGAAGGTTATGATAATAACATCAAGCATATGCAGAAGCAATTTAATTGTTTGAACGAAAAGTTTTGAATTTATAAACAAAGAATTTCTAACTTTAACATTTAGAACTAAAATAAAATATCTTGAAAAAATTACTTCACACTAGTAAATGATTAGGTGATCAAGAATATACAATAATCAGGGCTGGAGCTTCACCTGCTGAGGCTCTAAGCTATGTGAATTTCAAGGCCCTTCTCTAAAAAAAATTACTTTACACTAGTAAATGATTAGGTGATCAAGAATATACAATAATCAGGGCTGGAGCTTCACCTGCTGAGGCTCTAAGCTATGTGAATTTCAAGGCCCTTCTCTAAAAAATTGTATGAAAATAATTATACATGATTATCATTTATTAATGATTATATATAATGTTTGATTATTTTGTGTCAAAGAATAAAAACTAATGATAAAATAAAAATTTATTTTAAAAAAATTATGCCACCCCAGGATGTGTGGCTCTAAGCTATAGCATATAGGTATGCCCAGCACTAGGAATAACAGATGAACTAACTGCCTTATATGATGCCACTATTCAAGATATATTTATAAAATATGGATATTGGAGATTTTACAAGTTTTTAATTACAACAAAGGAAAATATAACATTGCATTAGTTTGAAATAATTTTCTCTTTTTTAAATGACAATAGGTATTGGTAAATTATCAAGGGATTAAAATTTTAAAACTAATGGCTTGGAATCCAAGGTTTGACACTTAAACTCTGCTTTGACTCTGTATAATATCTATTAATCTCTCTTGGCGTACATTTTATCTCAAAACATGTTTACTACCACACAACATACAACTATGTCTTGGGATATATTGCTTATACGACACATATGTAACCATTTCATGGTTTTATTTAAGACAATATAAATATCTAAGACAACATACTAGATACAGTTTCTGCCTTATGACATGAAGCTTATTTTGTTGTTCCATATGGGTTTTGTCTTGAATGAGTGACATTTGAAAATAATGTTTTTTAACATTTCAACACAAATTGTTTGAGGTTAAAAGAATTTTTTTTTTCATAATGTTTTACATATTTTAAAGTGATTTCTTTGAATAGCAACAAAAAACTTTACATTTTTTTTTACCTTAATATATAGAGCTAAAACTTAATGTACAAACACTCAGGATATACAAAAATGTGTCACATGCCATTATAAATAAAATAAAACAAAGCCAGTAATAAGGACACACATTAGTGTCATTCTTCAAAGTTTAATAAATTTAATTTAATTTGCTAAAATAAAGCATAGTTAGTTTTATACAGCATACCTCTAATAAAAATATAGATGGCAAAGGGTTACACTATCCAAAGTAGCAATGAATGTATTAATAAATTTATCTTAATTTATCATAATAAAATGGAATTAGTCTCATATAGTAATTTCTCATAATACTGTAAAATAGTTTAAAAATCCAAGGTATAAGAGAAATGTTATAGGATGAGCAATGGAAAAAAATTAACTGGTTGTAAATAATTTTACTGAAAAATCAAAAAAAAATCCTGTTTTTATTTTATAAATTCTTTTGAATAAAATATTTTTGCTACTTTGAACTAGCAGATGAGCATTAGTGCTTGGAATGATCTTGTTAAAAATGATGTTTTTTGTATTGAACAAGAAGAAAAAAAAACAAATATTTGTATGCTAACATATATGCCTTTCTGTAAGTTCATGTACAGACTGTTTTTCTATCCAAATATTTTTTTATTGAGTACTACAGTTGACTAATTATGTAAGATTTTCCTAACACTACAAAAGATAATAGTCTTATATATTAATTTCTCATACTAACATATCTTTTGTATCAACCTAATAAAATATTATTGCTGGTCATAAAATATTTCTTCAGTTAGAGAACATGACTGCTTTAGGCAAGACACTAATTTTATCAAATTACACTTATTTACATTTTGTTTTAGGAATATGAACTGAGATATTATGAAGAAAGCAAGTGGCTGTCCATAAACAAGTCTGCAAATGCTAATGATACAAGAAGCCTGTTTATGACTTTGTTTCGTTACATCACAGGCAATAATTCAGAAAGTAAGTTTGACTTTATTTTTTCATTTTAAGGAAAATTTAGAAAAAAAATGTTATTAACATTGTCAGAAATTTTTTGAGATGATTTGTTAAGACTC